GCAGAGCGAGCGCAATGGGGAGGGGCAGCGTGAAAGAAGCATAGGTAGCTGCCCCGTGAAGAGGCGCGAGCGACCACAGCGCACACCCTAAACCCTAAACCCTAAACCCTAAACCCTATTCTAATTCTTATTCAAGCCCCTGTATTGGGTAGTTCTCTAAGTTAGGGTCCCTTTTTTGGGGGTCCTTTTAAAAGGGTGCGGTACTATATTGGGGGCCTAAATAAGGACCCTAGTTTAGAGAGCTACCCAAATCAAGCCCGAAACCCCAAACCCTAAGCCCCAACTCCAAAACCCTAAACCCCAAACCCTAAACCCAAATAGGATCTGGAGACCCATTAGCAACAGCAGCTGTTGCTCCGGCACCTCCCTGCCGTGGCGAGAGTCGTGGCGCCCCATAGCCTGGGGACCTAGCAAGTCATGGGTATAGGTTTTCTGTTATTTAGGGTTTTTTTTTGAGCATTATTTAGGGTTTAGGGTTTAGGGTTCGGGGTTTAGGGCTTAGGGATTTTAGGATTAATAAAAAGAATATGTTGTCAAAGGGGGTCGTTACGAGCCTTTTTGTAGGGTGTTATCGGGTCTTCAAGGGGCAATACATGTCTTCGATGATTGGAAGAGGGCTTAGGGGTATGGTTACCTGAAGTCTGACGTTGAGACCCCCGGATGACGAAGCAGGATCCCGCTGGGGAAGAATATCTTCTACAAGGCTTTTTTGTTTAGGGTTTTGGGTTTGGGGTTTAGGGTTTAGGTGGTTGATGATATAAACCCGGCATTACCCATGAAAAGGAATAGACCGTAATTGCTATACTTTAGGGTTTTGGGCTTAGGCTTTTGGGTTTGGGGTTTAGGTTGTGTCGAAAACGGTTTCCTGGCGGACATCCTCGTCCGACGTCTCGCAGGCTCGAGGTCAGGTGTGGTTGGACGAACCGGCTACCCGAAACGTGTCAGCCCAAACCTACATGTAGGGGCTTAAGGCTTAAGGAGCTTAGGGTTCGGGGCTTTAGGTTTTTTGGGGTTTATGGTTTAGGGTTTAGGGTTTAGGCTTAAGGAGCTTAGGGTTCAGGGGTTGAGGGTTTTAGGGCTTAGGGTTTAGCCTTAAGGAGCTTTGGGTTCAGGGCTTTAGGTGTTCAGGGCTTCGAGTATCGGGCTCATCCTTCTAAAGCGCGCGAGCGGCAGTGGCTGGTGGCTGTGGTGCGGATGCCTTGGCGAGGAAGAAGAGGTTTCACGAGCTCTCTGGGTTTAGGGTTTAGGGTTTAGGGTTTAGCGGTTTAGAGTTTAGGGTTTAGGGTTTAGAAACTCTTTTGGGGGCTCCTTAATGGGTCTACTGCTTTAAGGGTTGCTTGAAGGGCTCTTTTCAGACTTCGACAGGGTTTAGGCTTGCTTTACTAGCTTTAGGGTTTAGACTTTAGGGAGGTAGGGGTTTAGGGATTTAGGAGTTTAGAGATGTAGGGTTTAGGGTTTAGGGATGTAGGGTTTAGGGTTGAGGCTTCGGGGTTAGGGCTTCTAGGGTTAAAGGGTTCGTTTAAAGGGAGCTATGACTGAAGGGTTCTTCTGGGTTTCTATACGGCATCTATGAGGGGTTTAGGGGTCTTGGGGCTTAGGGTTCAGGGCTATAAGTACCTACATACTGATGATAATATAAACCCTGCATTACCTTAAGGACCCTAAACTATCGGAATTATGGTATATTCCTTATTATGGGTAATGCATGATTTTTATCATTAACCGTAGTAGAAAGCGGGGTTTCTATAGGCAGAAATATGTTTATGGCCTGGGTCAGTCAGTATCCTTCGCACATGTCGGTACTTAGGACCCTCTGCGGCGGGGCTGCATACAGAAATCCCATGCTCCTTTGTACATATTAACAAATTAAGAATATATCTAAGCAAATAAATAAATAAGTATATACATATATATATATATATAGATATAGATATAGATATAGATATAGACATTATATATATATATAATTGTCCTAAAGCCCGAAAGCAGGCTCAAGGTGCAGGACTGTGCGTCTGCAGTGTTTTTCTTTTCGGGTTTCCCGGCTGAGCCCTAAAACCTAACTTTAAACCAAACCTGAAAACATTAATCCCATGAACACTAAACCCGGAAAGCTAGACCAGAGCCCTACTTTTGGAGATTAAGCTTCAGAGTTCTTACTCTGATTCTACGGCTCTAAACACTCTTTCGATGCTCTTGGGCAGAGGGTTTTGGGGCTATTGTCAGCCTTAGCATTAGGTTCAGGGTTTAGGGTTCAGGGTGTAGGGTTAAGACTCCAGCTGCTTACTCCTCACCATAGGACCCCCGGTACTTCACATCATCGTAGAGCATAGAGTCCTAAGACTTACACAGAGGGCGACATGCAGCGACAACGTCGTGGACTGACGCCCTGATCCCTATGAAATCCGTTATGCATAAAACTAAGTTAAGAGTTCATGTATTCAGGTAGTACATACTTTGGCCTTAAAGTAGTCCGTATATAGGTACTTTGGGGCCAAGGTATATACGATTTGGGTACATGGACCCTTCGGGTTATGCCCAACAATACAGATTCTGCCCCTTCTCTAGACGTGAAGGGAAACCCTTACCTGGAACCCTAAACCCTAAACCCTAAACTTGGCCCTAAACCCTAAACCCTAAACCCTAAACCCTAAACCCTAAACCCTAAACCCCAAACCCTAAACCCTACCCCAAACTTTAAGCAAGCCCGAAAGGTCCATGGAGACGTTGCGGGAATCGCACTTGGCCGAGGCTATGCGGCATTGTAAGAATCCGTCAACAAGCGGCTGCCTAAGCCTTAAAGGAACCCCAAACCCTAAACCCTTAACCCTAAACCCTAAAGCCTAAACCCTAAACCCTAAACAGTACCCTAATTCAACCCTTAAAGGAACCCCAAACTCTGAAACCCTATGCCCGAAAACTGCCTGAACCTTAGAGGAACCCTAAACCCTGAACCCTAAACAGTACCCTAATTGAACCCTTAAAGGAGCCCTAAACCCTGAAACCCTATGCCCGAAAACCCTGTGAGTCCCTACGGAGATGCTTATCGAGGGTTCAGGTATGCTTTCTAGGGCACATCAGGATTGCGTGTTGCGGTCATGCTTTATACTGTATTTTAAGAACCGACGAAGCTAGGTAATCTAAAAGCGATTCCTGCTAAGTCGTTCACTAATATAGGGAGTTTTAACATACGTGACTCAACGAGCACCAAACAGAAGGGTCTTCAAGAAACTGTACTATAGCAGTCAATGTGTTCTTCCACACACAGCTGCTTAGCACAAACCTAGTACAGCAAAATGAGGTCTCGTAGTTCAGGCAGCCACTCATTTCAAACGAACATGGACCGCTACCTGAACTACTGTTTCCGGGTGATGTAGTGGCCTAGTATAATGCGCCTCAAAACCCTATTCTAGTGTTTAAGGCCCCTACAGTAGGAACAGAGCGTCTTCTTGCGAGTATACCCGGCTGGTTCTTGGGGTTAAGTCTCGAAGACCTACGCCTTCCATAAAGAAACATTCCGCCAGCTAGAAAAAGCCTGTAGACAGCACCGAAGCTATCCCTTTTCAGCATTGGCATGATGGCACATGGGGAACTCTACCCCTGCACACCCTTAATCCGAAAAAGCGGTTTAGGGTTTAGGTTTTAGGGTTTAGGGTTCAACACAAGCCGATTAACAGACTTGTTTACGGAAACGTCTAAGAAAACTTGGACGATTTAGTCTAGAGCCTGTGGCTTCGGCATTTTTCCAAAGCACCGGATACCAAGTTGCCCCGTGCCAAGCTATAAACGAATCCTTCAACGCCTTCTACACCTTCCAAAAGTGCTCTGAAACCTTGGGAATGAATCACCCTAAACCAAAAAACCTCGAAATGCTCTGAAACCTTTGGAATGAATCACCCTAAACCCAAAAACCTCGAAGCTCGGAACCCCAAAGCCCTAAACAGCTCAGAGGGCTTCGGGTTTGCTGCGCAGTTTCTGCGGCAACTCCTCTCCGCCCTAGCAGCGGCAAACTCCTTTGGCATCCATCATCTCGCCTGGGGCCTAATATTCAGGAGTTTAAGGGTTTAGGGTTTATAGGGTTTAGGGTTTAGGGATTAGGGTTTAGGCTTTAGGTTTTAGGGTTTAGGGTTCAGGGATTCAGGGGTCTGAAAACTTGTAGGGTGCTTGCAGTGTTTTGGGTTTTGCAGACGAAAATAAATATACACAGGGTTTAGGAATGTTTCATAATCGCATGTTCCCCAGTTCCGATTAAAATATATGTAGTACAACATTACAACATACCCCAAAGCCCTGTTCGTTTGTTTTTCAGCTTTTGCGGGTTTCAGGGGTTTAGAGTTTTAGGGTTTAGGGTTCAGGGGTTAGCCTAAGCCCATATAACCTACCTATTTACGCTATACAAGGAAAGTGTAATTAGGACTCTGGACCCCTGAAAGGGTAGGTTTCATAGGTCCACGTAGGGCTTCGCCACGGACGGTTACTTATCAACCAGGAGTTCTTGCTCCAAGCACTCAAACTTCTAAAGCTGGGTTCTTGTTATGGGGCGTAATTTAGGGTATTTCATAGAAAGGACATCCTAGCATGTGCTAAAAGATCCCTGATGCGTTAACTAAAAGAAGTTCCTTGACACAAAGACGCAGAACCCTAAATCTCAAACCCTAAACCCTAATCTGTCAGGGCTTTGGGCTGCTGCGAGCCAGGTTCAATCTGCCAGTGCTTCTGTTTAGGGTTTAAATTCAGGGTTTATTGAGTCATTGAGTTTAGGGTTTAGGGCTAATTTGACATGCTGATCCTCTTGCGCTCCGAAGTGTCCGAGTCTCCTGTTCGCCCTGTGGGTTTACTAGATTGTACTTTTGCTTTGTTGCGGCTCCGTTATAGACCCTAAACCCTAAACCCTAAACCCTAAACCCTAAACCCTGAACCCTAAACCCTAAACCCTAAACCCTAAACCGAAAGGTGTCTTTGCTTTGTTGATTTTGTTTACCTGCAGTTGTAGATTGTGCAGATCGTGGCTGTGCTTTGTTGGGAGTTTCCAAAAATTAGGGGACCTTATTTGGGGGTCCTTATAATAAGGGTTTAGGGTTTAGGGTTTAGGGTTTAGGTATTACGGTTTCTATATGGGAGTTTCAGAAAATTAGGGGTACTTGATTGGGGAGTCCTTATAATAAGGGTCCTACTATTTAGGGTACTATATTAGGGTCCCCCCTTATAATAAGGGTCCTACTATTCAGGGTACTTTTTTAGGGTCCCCCCTTATAATAAGGGTCCTACTATTCAGGGTACTATATTAGGGTCCCCTATTTTCGGAAACTCCCTGTTGGACAGTCGTTCATGACTTGGTATGCTTCCAGCATGTTCCTGTGTGTTTCTTTGCATGCCATATTTTAACGACCATGAACAGTCATGTTGCTTC